CACAATTTTGCCCAGGCCAGTCTTCATCCAGAGAAAGCACCCTACTTGGCCCTATTCACAGACTTCTGGACATTACTAGTAACAATAACAGCTGTATCAAATAGGGTTCATGCAGCAGTCGGTCACAGGTTAGCTCAAGAAGCTAGCTAGCTAGCCCACACAATACTGTTTGTACAGAAACGTCAATGCAAGTTCCAAACAACCTGAAAATAAGTGTAGTGGAAACCACTGATTTAGACGTTTCCTAGCAGCACAGTGCTAAGCATTTTCTGAACATCGTCTTACTTAATAGCCACAACAATTCTAGGAGGTAAGTACTATTCTCATTCCTATTTTATTTTACAGATAAGCGGAGTAAGAAGTAACAAATGACTTGACTGAAACCATATAGCAAAAATAAACGGCATACTCCAAAGAAAACATACAGATGGCAAACAAGCATATGAAAAGATGCTCAACATCACTAATCATTAGGGAAATACATATCAAAACCAAAACCAGTTATCACTTTACACCCATTAAGATGGCTACTATCAAAAAAAAAACAGAAAATCTCAAGTGTTGACCAGCTGAGCACCTGTGATCCCAGCACTTTGGGAGCCTGAGGCAAGTGGATCACTTGAGGTCAGGAGTTTGAGACCGGCCTGACCAACATAGTGAAACCCATCTCTACTAAAACTACCAAAAAAAATATGCAGGGTTTGGAGGCACACATCTGTAATCCCAGCTACTCAGGAAGCTGAGACGAGAGAATCACCTGAACCCAGGAGGCACAGGTTGCAGTGGGCCAATATCGCACCACTGCACTCCAGCCTGAGTGACAGGGCAAGACTTTGTCTCAAAAAAAAAAAAACAAAAAAAAACTGTGGATGAGGATGTGGAAGAATTAGAATCTTTATGCACTGCTGGTAGAATTGTAAAATGGTGTAACCATGACAGAAACCAGTATGGAGGTTCCTCAAAAAATTAAAAATAGAACTACCATTTGATTTTCCAATCCCACTTCTAGGTATATATACAAGAACTGAAAGCAGTTCCTCAAGGAGATATTTGCATACCCATATCCATAGCAATGCCACTCCAAAAGCCAAAGGGCAAAAACAGCACAAATGTTCATCAGTGGATGAATAAACAAAATGTGGGATATCCATACGATGGAATATTATTCAGCCTTAAAAGGAAAAGAAATCCTGTCACATGCTACAACATGGATGAACCTTGAGGATACTATGCTAAGTGAAATATGCTGAGAACAACAAGACAAATACTATATGATTCCAATTATATGAAGATCTAGAATAGTCAAATACATAGTGACAGAACAGTGTAGAACAGTGATTCCCAGGGGCTGAAGGAGAGGTAAAGGGGAGCTGCTGTTTAATGGGTACAGATACCAAATTTGCAAGATGAAAAAGTTTGGAAGGTCTTGTTCACAGCAATATGAGCATATTTAACTCTACTAAATTATATGCTTAAAAATGGTTAAGATGGTAACTTTTATATTGTATATTTTACCACAATTAAAAATAAAAAATAGAATAACTGGCCAGGCATGGTGGCTCATGCCTGTAATCCCAGCACTTTGGGATGCCAAGTTGGGCAGATCAGAAGGTCAGGAGTTCAAGACCAGCCTGGCCAACATGGTGAAACCCCACCTCTACTAAAAATACAAAAATTAGCTGGGCATGGTAGTGTGTTCCAGTAATCTCAGCTACTCAGAAGGCTGAGGCAGGAGAATTGCTTGAACTGAGACCCGGGAGGCGGAGGTTGCAGTGAGTCCAGATTGTACCATTGCACTCCAGCCTGGGCTACAGAGTGAGACTCCGTCTCAAAAAAGGAAAGAAAAAAAGACAGAATAACTGCACAAAGCCAGCCAGACTCAAAGGCGAGACTAATTCTAAATTCCATACCCTTCACTATGACTTTATTGTAAATAAATAAGTAAATAATCTTCATTCATTCAGCAAAGATGAGTGCCAGCACAAGCACCAGGAATGCATCAGTTAATAAAACAGTCACAGGTCTCTGCCCTCACACAATGTAAGTCCTAGCAAATATCACTGATATTTCATAAGGACACCTGAATTATCCCTATGTTCAAAGAAACTTTGCCAATATTTTAGTATTACTTCAATGTCAGTTTGTTCCTCTCAAAAGCTATCAAAACAGAGATATGTAGAGAGCTGAAGCATTTCCCTTGATTTTTCAAGATCTCAGAGGCAACCTCAAATAACAGTCTTACTTTACTTGCATTCTAGTGAGTGAAATACCCTGATATGTTTCCTGGTAATTCTATCTTAAGCCCCACATTAATAAATGTCCATGTTCCATTTTTCACTAACCTAAACCTATTCTTTATTCATTATGTACCTGCCATCATTTTAAATTGCTTATTTTAAAAAGGTAAAACCAGGAAGCAGAGGAATATGGAAAGCATATTTCTAACTCAAGATTTCAACTAAAGACATACTGTTATTTAGCTTAGTTAAGTAAGATTATTATTAATTTACATCATTTACTAAACCTCTGATTCAAATCCAAACAAGTCAGGTAATACCTGGCAGTTTCAGTTATACAGACTCTTTTCGTTTCTTCTTTCTTTTGCAAATTTAGAGAGCTGGCAACCATTCTCTCTCACTCTTTAATAAATTCCTATTCAAAATAATTTTTTCAAGGAAACAACAGACTTCAAAGACAGATCAATTGGGCGGGGCATGGTGGCTCTCGCCTGTAATCCCAGCACTTGGGGAAGCCAAGGAAGGCAGATCACCTGAGGTCAGGAGTTTGGGACCAGCTTGGCCAACATGATGAAACCCCGTCTCTACTAAAAGTACAAAAATAAGTCGGGAGTGGTGGCACAAGCCTGTAATCCCAGCTACTCGGGAGGCTGAGGCAAAAGAATTGCTTGAGCCTGGGAGGTGAAGGTTACAGTGAGCCAAGATCGCGCCACTATACTACAGCGTGAGCAAGTTCCGTCTCCAAAAAAAATTTAAAAAAATTAAAAACCCAGAAACGAATGAATTATGTTAAATTCGCACTAGGCATTTTTTCTTCAAAAATTAAGCAATCAAGTTTCCCAAAAAGCAAGTCAGTTTAACATTCAAGTTACAAAAGCATCTTTCAAATTACAGGTATTGATCGACTTAACGACCTATGCAACTTACAACCATTCAACTTTACGACCACAATCGCTAGCCACGACTGCTCCGCGTCTGGGCGGAGTTGCCCAGCTGGGCGTAGGACAGTGCGGGACAATAATCATATATGCTATATCATATCATTATTAGTCATTTTCTTGCCTTTCTTACTAAAATGTGAGTGGTTTATATCCCTATATCTTTAACAATATTAGAACATACTAAGTTTAAATTATATTTGAACAAGATATCCAGATGACATCTTTTATGATGAATGCTACATATTTGTATCCCATGGAAAGCCACATAAAATTGTGATGATTTACTTTTCTATTTACAATGATAATAAATAAATACCTGGCAACTAGTCCTTTTTAACCCTAAGACTTAACATAGTTCATACTCTTCTGCTTTTCAAAACTCATCATGTGCCGTGGTTTTTCACTTCAAACCATAGACCACTGTGGTTCAGTGATCTGTGAATATTCCACAGTTTTACACAAGGCTGTGCCTTTATCACAAGTTAAGGTGGCTTTTTAAAAATGAGATTTGACAAGAATGCTTTCATAATAAGCATTCAGGTCAACCTTTACTACTGGAAATGCAGTGTTTTACTTAAACCTGACGAATATAAAAATAAGAAACAAAATGGTGTAGAGATGATACAAATGGCATCAAATGAACAAAGAAAATTATGATATATAACAATAATGAAAGAAAATTATGAAAAAATATGACTTAAAGATTTTTATAACATCATTTCACAGTACTGTACATATAGCCTACTCAACTTACGACCAAATCATGTTACGACTGGTCTGTCAGAACCAATCGTGGTCGTAAGTCGAGCACTAGCTGTATAGTTAGCATTCTACAAGATTTAGCCCTTTTTTTTTTTAAACAGCTAAGCTCTTTATATTCTTTTGTAGCTTCTCTAATTACACACTCAGAGCTAGGGTTTACATACAGATGACAAAAGTACCTTTGATAAAGAGTTCCAAAAACTAACTGGAATGCAAAATCCTAGAGTAAAACCATCTCACCAAGTAGGCACAGTAGCTCAAAAGAGAAGAGAACAAGTCTGCTAAAGGCATCTTCTATGTGGACTACATGCCTTATTGAAGCATGCTTATGAATATTAAAACATCATTTTGACTGCATTCATTCCAAGCCTCTTCAGAGACCTCAAGGTCTTACTGCCCCACAAGATGTCCCACAAATAGTAGTGACCAGGTTGTCATCATTCCCTGGAAACTGCTTATGAGTATGATTCTTTTCTAATTGAGGAAGGCAGGGAAAAAGAAATTGACCAGTTGTACCCTAAAAAGAGTATCACAAACCAAATGTTATCATTCAAACTCTTCATTTAACTGTAAGAGAAAATTACTGTTTTTGATTTAAAATGCTTTACCTAAATTTGAAACAAAATATTTGCACTAAGGGTTTATAAGGCTCATTTGTTTTTTTAAAAACTGTCTCATTTAAATGTTCATAACTCAGTGACACATGAAAAAAGGTACAAAACTATATATATATATATATATAAGCATATATATGGATTCTATTTTTCAAAAACGGTATATTACTGTATATGCCTTAGTTATCTCCCAAAAACACGACACTGCTTTTATTCAAGGTCCTCACAACATCTAGCAGGAATTTCTGGTTACTTCGTTTGGCTTAAACAAAATAGGGTAGCAGCTATCCTATGTTACTAAACAGCTTGGAGTCACAGAGGACCATTTTATATTAGGGACATACAACATATATGTATGCTTTCTGTATATATGTTTTATACACACCAAGTATATATAGAGAGAATATGTATATGTGCCTAAAATAAAACACAGATTAAGGATTTACCTTCATCGTACATTTCCTCTATCAAATAGGCCTCTGCTCGATCTTTCAGGGCATTCACATTGTCGGGTTCCATCTGTAAAACTTCAGAACATACCCTAATAGCTTCAACAGGCTTCTCGTCCTAAAACGAAATGTGAGAAAAGGATTTATGGTTGGTATTCCATACGTGGTTTTCACATTTCTGGGAACAAGTCAACTGTTACCTTAGAAAAGCAGTGGCAAATCCTCTCCTTTGAACGAACTGTATATTCAGCAATGCTTGGCTCTGTTTTCATGACAGATTCAAATTTGCTGGTAGCATCTGTGTATCTAAGAAATGAGCAAATTATGATAAGATACAATGTCATTTGATTTCCAGAGCTGCAGAAAGGCCCCTCCCCTCTTCACCATGCGTTGCTTAGTCAATCCAATTGGATGAATCCCTGGCTTCAGATTTGGCTTTTCCCTTATTAATCTAGAGTTGCATAGAAGGTACACTCCATAGTTAAAAGAGTTCGGAGATAAAACATCTGACCACAGAAGATGCAGATGGACAGAACAAAGCATACCTGTGAGTACCAGTCAAACCACAAGAATTTCCTTACAGAAACAAACTTGGAATTCCGAAACTGAGTAAAACACCCTGTTGAGTCTAACTTACACTGATCACATTGAACAATACAGAGATCGAGTTTTATTTCTTGGTCAGTACACACTTCCATGAAAATAATGGAACCCATTACATGCCATTTCATATAATTAATTAATGTAAGTATTCACAACAAGGTACAATGTAGTTCATACAGAAGGTACCTGATTAAATTCCCAACTGTACAAGCTTTCTAAGAATAAAAGCCATTTCAGCATTTTCTTTAATCCAGCAAAAAGTACTAATCCTGTTATATACTATGTTACTTTCCTCAACAATACTAAAATAAAAAATATATTTCTATGCTATGGTGGCTCATTATTCCCAAAATACTACAATCTTCATATGTAAATATGCCAATGTATTAAAACACAGGCTTAACTAAAACATATAAAACAAAAGCCAGCTTTTCCATCATCCTCAGCAAACTAACGCAGGAACAGAAAACCAAACCCCGCATATTCTCACTCATAAGTGGGACCTGAACAGTGAGAACACATGAACACAGGGAGGTGAACATCACACACCAGGGCTTGTGCACTGCAGGCAGCAAGGGGAGGGAGAGCATCAGGACAAATAGCTAATACATGCAGGGCTTAATACCTAGGTTACGCGTTGATAGGTGCAGCAAACCACCATGGCCCCTGTTTACCTATGTAACAAACCTCCACATTCTCCACCTGCATCCTAAAACTTAAAAAAAAAAGAATAAAAAAAAACACAAACAAATGGAAAAATATTCCATGCTAAAAAGTAAAAAAAAAAAAAAAAAAGAAAAAAAAGCCAGCTTCTGGGAAAGTGGAATAGATGTATTTTTCCCAATGCCTCCAGCTAAGCACAACTAAAAACCTGAAAAATTATATATAAATATATTTTAAAACAGAAAGCTTTCAAAGGAGGAGAGAAGACAGACTAGCCAGTGACTCAGGACCTGAGGAAAAACATGGTAAGACGTTCCCTGGGTTCCTTTTTGTTTCATATATCCCAGACTTGGAGCTGAAAATTCCAGCAATGCAGAAATGGCAACAGGTACAGAACAACAATAACAAAAACCTGCAGAAGTCTGCTCTCTCTAGCCAGAGGACCTGAAAAGGGCAGACTTGCAAACAGAAAACTTTTTAACAATAACAGCTCAACTCCAGCCAAATACTATACAGAAAATTTCACCCCCGCCTCAACCCACACCCCTCTTCACTATTAGTATACAGCCTAGATTTTCTCCCTGGTGAGGCTGTAACAAGCTTCCCTCTACACCTCTACCACAGTAGTGTCAGGAAAGGCCAACTAGGGAGACAGGACTTTCATCCATGGCTGGTAATGAGTCCCCACCCCACAACCCCAGTGGTGTCAGTGGAGACTGTGAGGACCCAAAACTCTCCCCTGTGCAAGAAGCTCCCTGACCCTTAGGTATCCACAAAGTCCGAGTAGAGAACTTCCACTTCCACACAGCTCTAACAAGGTGGCGTCCACCACCCCTCTCCCTGCTTTGCTGGAACAGCGTCAAAAGCCAGCCAAAAGAAGTCTAAATACAAAACAGACATAACAAAATGAAGATCCCAGGTTTCAATTAAAAACCACTCATCCAACCAAGGACTAGGAAGAACTCAAACTGAATGAAAACTGACAATCAATACATGCCAACAAGAGGACAGAGATATTAGAATCATCTGACAAAGATTTTAAAGCAGCCATTTTTAAAAAGCATCAATTATAAACATGCTTGAAGCAAATGAAAAAAATGCCTAAGCAAAGTAGTAGAAAATAGCAAAGAAATAAAAAATTTAAAAAAAACCAAGTGGAGGTTTTGAACTAAAAAGTACAAAAAACAAAATAAAAGGCCTTATTGAATGCAGAATGAAGGGGAAAGAGAAAAGAATCAGTGAATTGGAGTGACAGAAATTACCTGACTTACCAGCATGGACAATACAGTGAAACGCTGTCTCTATAAAAAACTTGTTTTGAGACCGGGCGCGTTCGCTCATGCCTGCAATCCCAGCAGTTTGGGAGGCTGAGGCAGGCAGATCATAAGGTCAGGAGTTCAAGACCAGCCTGGCCAACATGGTTAAAACCTCAACTCTACTAAAAAAAAAAAAAAACTACAAAAATTAGCTGGGCATGGTGGCACGTGCCTGTAATCCCAGCTACTCTGGAGGCTAAGGCAGGAGAATTGCTTGAACCAGGACCCTGGAGGCAGAGTTGCAGTGAGCTGAGATTGCATCACTGCTGCACTCCAGCCTG